TGTAAAAAGTGTCATTAGATGTGGCACAAAGCCGAATTTATGGTGCACGTCTAATTTATGAATTTATAAATTTTATGGCATAAAGCCGAATTTTGGATACAGAACGAACTCATTATTCACTCATAATTGAGTTAGCTAGCAAAGCTTGCTGAACATTACTTGCTGAATGTCGAAGTGCCCAGTGATTTTATAAGCGTAGCTTTGATGATGCACAGACATAAGACTGTGGAGCACCCGGTCAAGATTTAAATCAATATTAAGTTACGCATTACGCATCTAGCGAGACAAACTTGCTAAAAATTGCACCACGTCGGAATGCCGTTGTATTCAGATATGTACTGCATATATAGCATGGATTCGAGCACAATACACACACAATATCTCTTTTCACTATATATATATATATATATATATATATATATATATATATATATATACTTACAGTTGTAGGGAAAGGAAATATAAAAATAAAAGTATGAAATAATAATTTTATAGATTCGTTGGCAATAGTTCAGATTATGAATAACCATATATATATATATATATATATATATATATATATATATATATATATAACAAATGAACACGACTCCTACACGTACGACATCCGCACAGACGGGCTCAAACGCGTAATAGCACATCTACAAAGACAGATAGATGAAGCTATTGATTCAATGTATTTATTCCACCTGAATATCAGCTGACAGCGTGAGATCAAGCAGGCGTAACGAGGCACTATCGAGGATTTGGGAATCAGCCATTCTGATTGGTGGCAGGGAGGGTTTTCTGTAGTGGATAAATGAGAGCAGTTGCATTTTGGAGACATTAATGGGTACAAGCCATTTTCTGCCCCAGTCAACCGCACATTGGAGGTCCTATGCATGTAAATGAAGTATTCACTACATTACTTTACCTATTTTTATATATGGTCTCTGTTTTATGTTCGAGCTTCCTTTGTCATATTGCTTCTTTCATGTGTTTGTCTGTATTTTTAAACTAACTAGCCTTATTTATGTGTATTTATTTTCCTTTTTTAGTCTTAATCCTTTGATTATTAATAAACACCAGGATGTCCCGGCGTTGCCCGTGCTTGATTCAAAAATCGTACGACTCATACAGCAATCGCTATCACTTGACTGAAAATATTTTTGCCCTTCCTTGCCTTTAAAGGAGTTTCCTTTGCCGTTCTGATGTTTCTACATGCCTTACTTCTTGCCTATCTCACACTGCGAATTTTTTCTAAGCTCCATACTAAACATTAAATCTGTTAGAAAAAAAAGAACTAAACAAAATGAATTTGTTTTTAGAGTCTTGTCTTAAGGTTTTTATCTGTCTGCTTTCGAGATTCCGTACGCTTATGACACAGACGCATGCTCCCTGGGTAGAACAAGCTTCTTTTATTAAATGCATTTGTGCCGCAATTACATAAATTTCTTAATTAATTATATGCCTTTCTATGACATAAGAATCAGCAAGTCAGTCTGATGGCCATTGAGTGCTGAGTTGGGAATCTTACGTGTGGTGTCGTGTACGAATAAAATTAGCTTATATAACAACATGGTATCCCTGATGCTAGATTTGAAAGTAATTTATATAAAAAATAACAAGTTCATCGCATAATGTTTTATGAGGAGGCGCTGAATAATTTCTCGTCTCTCTGAATCGCTACGATAGTTTAGAAAATGAGAGGGCGTTTGTTTTTCGTCGTCTACTCTACAGTTACAAAATGTTTCACCTAGTTTAGCAGATAACAAAGCTATTAAGTTTAGTATACTTAGATGTTTGATCCATAGCTAGGGTTGGGAAAAGAGTTGGATTCATGTCTTAACTCCAGGAGCAATAGTGTGAGAGAAGATTAAGATGAATTTTAAGACTATGACTGTTTTATAAAATCTGCTCGCATATTCTTAAACCATCTTTGTGATTATAGGATTAAACACTTTTTTACTCTTCTCTAACAGTTAAAAAACAGCTTGCATTGTATTGTGTAGTATTATTCTTGAACTTCAAAACAAATTCACTTACTTTTTCATTCGCTCTTTTAGAAATTGAAATACAAATTTAATAAGATACCACTGACTAATATAGGATAGCTAATATATTCGCCCGAATAGCGACAAGTGATTAACATACCATGATATCTATATGTTGCTGATTTTTTATGAGTATAATTATCCAGATTTGACCACTGTTTTTTTATAGCTAAGGAGTGTATTTTTTCGAGAGTGGCAAAGTAATGGATTTGTTTATTGATTGATTCGTTTTCTATGGCTTATCAACCCTTTGTAGGTTATTTAAAGCCAGAAAACATTTGTAGATTGTTAGAAATTCTTTCGAGGTAATAAAGGTTTAGTGATACATATCTTACTAATTAACCTATACCTGGGCAGAGAACAGGTATGTTCATACTTTTCCCAAGCGTATTTGCGTGTCAGTAAATAAAACCCTATGAATTAAGAATTCCGAACCATTATCCTATATATCACCCTCACATCTAAACTTACCGCACCTGGTATTCCCAAGCGGTCACCAATCGCGGTTCTAACCAAACCTGACATTGCTTAACTTCTGTGATCGTATGGGGACCGGTGTATCAACATGATCATCTGTGAGCCTCTTTTGCATTTAGGAACGTGTGTAATGCGCCATTTTACAGTGCAAAATTCAGGATGTGGGCAATCGACAATTTTCATAGACTTATGTTTATTTCTATTGTTCGAAGGAGCTTTTACCTCCTTCAAATACGTCTTGTTAAGCAGGTTACTCGCCTTTTTGTACTGTCTTATTCCCCTTCAACATGCCATGTGAGAGAGACATTCTCCAAGAATTCTCACGTTGGATTGATTCCCGAATATTGTGGCTGTCTCTGAGTGTAAGCATCAGTTTATTTGTAGCTTTTCTTCTCCTGAGGTCTTCCGCATTGTTCTCGTATTCTAGTCACGTTATTCTCCATATCTGTTCGAATAATTGTCTATCTTTTTTCTTTTTTTTTTTTGCTGGACATACCCCCAAACAAGGTAGTGAAGCCACTAAGAAATAAGGGGTTACTGGGTGTGAATGAATTAGAAAAAAAAGCAATTTTTTTAGCAAGGACAATAGAAAAGTAATCATGAAGCAGTAGATAAGAATTGATATTGCATTTAAATTTTTGAAGATCAAATCTCGTAAATCACATAATCTGCCCATAGCATTTTCAGCATCTTTTTTCCCAGAACGATATGTTTCTCAGTTCATCTCTTGTCTTCATGAGAGATTTTTCAGCATTCACCGTCATACGAGATATTAGATATTAAATAACAGTTTTAATCATCGATTTCTATATTGTTAATTTCTTTTGCTATATTTGTTAAATATTTTCCTATTTTTAAAAACATAATCATTTCTCTCTAATCAACTCAAGGAGTTACTGACCGTGAGAGTATATGATAAAAAAAAAGAAAATATTAGTAAGGGGAATTAAGAAAACATATCATAGCGATTGACGTTGCATTTAACGTTTTAAAGATCAAAATTGATTGGAACGTAAGAGTCCAGAAGAGATGTCCACAAGCGAGAAGTGCAAAAGAAGAAGCTGTTAGCATAGAACTTACGGTTACATGTAGTCATTTTAACTGTGAAAAAGTGAAGCTTATCTGCCATTTCTATTTCTATGTGCCTTCGGATATGTATCCGACAATACAAAATACGTTACAAAATTACCCAGGTACTTAAAACTTATTATTCATTTTACAGTACAAAACAGGCTTTCTGGTGTTTCCTTCCGCTGACGAATTATTCTTTTCTTTTTGTTTTAAGCTTTTCACCCTACGCAAGGCGGGAGTGCCACTAGCATGCAAGTGGTTACAAAGAGTGTGAGCAAGAGTAAAGAGGCGTTACAGAGGAAAGGATGAAGAGAAGGACGGTAAATAGATCAAGTCATCTGGATATGTGGATTGAGATTGCATTTGAATAATTGGAGATTATAGCTATCAGGGAAGTAAGTAAGAGGAAGGGAGGTCCACAGACAGGAAGTGCGAGACATGAAGCTATTAAAGTAGAAGAGACGGCTACATTTAACCGTTCCGACAGCGAAAGGCTGGGACTGGAATACTAACCTAGTAGCATGTTTAAATTCATTCAGTTTGGGAACTAGCAAAAGTAGCTCGTCGGAGAGTTATCGTGAAAGTATTTGTAGAAAAAAACAGAGGGAGCCGACGGTACGTCGTGAGAGTGTGACTGTAAACGAGATGCCAGATCAGGGCCAACCACATTGTATATCCTTTTCTGGATTTTGTCGAGGACCTTCAGATGAACAGCGGGAGATCCAGGCCATATATGAGAGCAGTATTCCATCGTGTTACTGTTAAAAGTACGAGTTTCTTTTATCTGTCTTTGCTACTTTATGTCAACGGTCTTCTTTATTTTTTTTTCTTTCTATGCCTACTACAAAAACTGTTAACACTGAATCTTCTTTTTAATTCATTTCTCATCCAAACAACGCGACAAAGGACACAAGGAGCTGCTGAGCGTAAAATAAATGCAAAATCATTATTGAGAAGGGAAAGAGAGAGAGACAGAGAGAGGGCAATATAAGACCAGGTAATTCTTAAGATTATGTTTGGATTTACGAGTTGAGATTTAAAAAAACAGACATACGGGACATTATTTTTATAAAAAAGCTTACAGATTTGGAAGAAACACTGCTTAGAAATATTAAGCTTACATGATCTTTAAACATTGGACATAATTGAACAATAGCATTGAACCAACATTAACACACTTCATTCAAAGAAGGTGAGGATGTGTATATGGTGGGACCATGTTTCTGGAGAATGGTCGCAGAACTTGATCGAATCAAGTCGATCAATTCCTGGTCGCATCCAGCGAAATATTCTTTCATAATTATATTCAATTTTAAGGATTAAATAACCATTAATAATGACCGTTCTTTTTCATGGCAAACCACCATTTGTAAAATTTTCTTGCAATCCATATAAGCTTTAATGGTATTTTGAAAAATGTTTGAATTCTTAGTAAAATTATTACCGCATATGTGATAAAAATAAGATTGAACCTCAATAAAGTTGTAAAGTAAATTTAGGTTTAATATTTTCTTCTTCTTAATTTTATATATTTTAAAGATGCTAATTAAGATCTCATTTTGTTGATACTGAAAAATTCTTAATACAAATGTGCGTTTAACGTAACTGCTATCGGTGGTGAGACTTGAATCAGTGAGCAGCTTTCGACTCTGGAATGTGATAATACGAACGTAGACAAAATGTTGATACCACTTGGAGCATTCAGTTTTCATTTTATATCGGCATTTGTTTGTATGTTCACAGGTGTCACATCAATGTGCACTTAAAACAAGAAAAAAAAACCTTTAGCAAAATGAATTTTTTAGGGAGTTTATTTATATATTTTAAAGATGATTGTAAGATCTCATTTTACTGATATTGAAAAATTCTTAATACAAATGTGCGTGTAGCGTATGGGCTATCGGTGTGGAGACTGGAATCAGCGAGCTGATTTCGAATCTGGAATCTGATAATACAAGCTTGGACAAAATGTTGCGTCGTTTTTTTTTTGTTTTTGTTTTTGCGTAGATACCACTACAGGCGTTCAGTTTCCATTCTTTTATCGGTTTTTGGTTGTATTTTCACAGGTGTCATTATAAAGAAGAAAATAAAAACTTTTGGCAAAAATATTTTTTTTTAGCGGTGCGGGTATTTATTCGGTTATCAAACCTGGCACAATATAAGCTGATTTGCTATAAGCTATGTAAATTTTTTCTAGGTTAATATAACTAAAAGCACTCAAAGAAGAAATTTCTCGAAAATATCTAAATTTCCAAAGTAATTTCCTATTTGCTGATTCTTCTTGGTGACAGTTTAAATTTTCCAAATTCTTTAGAAACTTTTGCTTAAAGTAGTCACGTTACATTCTATTCTTTTCTCCGATAGAAAGTACGATTCGTGCTAGACAAAGACTAAGTGTATATTTACTCAGCGTCTGTTATGTCTAGGTGCCAGGTTATCAGACTGTGTATTTGGATATTTGTGTGTGCCTGTGGGACTTGATTTGAACAAATGAAAACATACTAACACATTTAACATGAATATACTATACTGACAAGTGTCAAAGTTTTCCAGACTCAGTCTTGCCCACATAAATCCCATTTGTTTCAACTGTGACTTTTATCTAGATTAGAAAATGACACCATAAAAACTTATATCGATTGCTGGTATACATAAATATGCATTAGTTTTAGTCATGATAGACATCCCTTTTTAACATGAATTTTTATTATTTTTATTTCTTTTCGTTCGTAAAATATAGAAGAAAAATAACACATTTAATAAAAAATCCACAAAGAATAAGAATGCATATCTGCGTTCATATATATATATATATATATATATATATATATATATATATATATATATATATATATATATATATATATATATATATATTGATAGGTATATAGATAGATAGATCAGTATATATATATATATATATATATATATATATATATATATATATATATATATATATATATATATATATATATTACTGAATACAACAGGTGCTTTGCTTGTTAAATCAAATAGAGAAATTGTATAAAAACTAAATCCAAGCACCTTGTCTGTCGTATTCAATGAAATGTGCATGAAAGAAGGATTGCTGCCTAAATACACGCACAAACACTCAAACACTCAAACACACACACACACACACACACACACACACACATACACATATATATATATATATATATATATATATATATATATATATACACGTTTAGTTAACATTGGTAGAATGGATATATATATTCTTCTCAAATGATCGGTAGTGTTGGCAGTCCGAATTTAGTTCAATTTTAGAATGCTGAACTATATTCCGGGCTGGAATTCAAGTTTAGAAATTGGTAACGACAGATAGCGAGACATGGGCTGCATTTCTGTAACACACGCCATGTCGATGATGGCAATGGGCCATGCAAACATTTATATACGACCATGTTCGGAGATGTTTCAACTACCGTTTTCCTGAGACGAAAACTGGATGACTCATTCGTTTTCGAGTAGTAGAGGAAACACAGCATCTTCATATTCTGCAACTGGAAGAAAATATGAGACGGAAACACAGAAACGCGGATTGCCGATGTTTCACACGATAAAATGGCTCTTAAAAAAGAAAGCACTGCAAAGAAAAAAAAAAGAAAAGAAAAGAAGCATGGTCGCTCGTTTCAGTTTTTTGGCCACCATGGGAGTCCTGAGAAACATCGTTAAGAACACCTTTTCCTCACTTGCTCGGCGTCGTTCTTTTATTGTTTCGCAAAGTACCCGATCCGAGTGTCTGGATTAAATTCGCATATGGATATGCAAATCGCGTAACTCTCTCAGCATCCTGTCTTGTCTATTGAGCATCCAGGCTACTCGGATAAGTAAACTTCAAATGGTTAATGCGAGGCTCAGGTTCTAATCGCACCGAGAATAATTCTGCTTATGACTACAAACTATGCGTGTTGCCCCGCGAATTCTTTTCACGGCGGGTGAACGACGCGTCCACTCGACAACTTCTTCGTTAGAGTTAACATGCTAGGACG